AAGCTCTCCAGTAACAAAGCACATGAACCCAGGTAATACAGAGTCAATATATATACACAGAATTAAAGCAATTAAGAAGACTCTTTTGTGTTTCCACAAATAACTAACGGTTTGTAACATACTATAACAATATGAAAGGTTTAAAGAATGGAAAAAAGGCTACAAATAATGCAAAACAATATCAAGAAAACGTACATAGATAAAAAAAAAAATTAACAATTCGTAAGCCAAAAATATACCTCTGTTAATCCAACCATACTGATTTCAGGATGAGTGAAACATGCTGCTGGAATGCTCAAATGATTCAGCACGTGGTCCTTCCCGCAAACTTGCTCAACAACTAGTAAAAGAAAATATTCCAGGGGTCAAATTTTCACACACATGATGAAAAGTTGAGGCAGGGGTTGTTACCAGAGATTCCTTGTGCACTTGCTGCATGAGCAAGCATCATTTTCCCATTTGCATCACCAATGCAATATAAGTGAGGAACCTAATCATAAGATGCTCATGTCAGCGACATGCAGATGCATAGAACATCACAAAAAATCAAAGGAAGCTCATGACCAACCAACTCGCCATTTGCGTCAATCACTCGCATGCGTTCATCAACTGGAACAAATCCACGTTGTGTTTGTACATTAATCTGTTAATAAATTTAGCACATTAAATGATTATCATTTCCAAAAGTATCGTATATTAGGAGCTTTAATTCATTAATATCTAGCGTACTTACTTTATCCAAACCAAGTCCCTGCGTAAATGGAGCCCTTCCAGTTGCAATGAGGGCAGCATCTACCTGCAAACATAGGTCAAAAATTATGCAAGGAGGTGACAAGATAGCAATATATTACAGAAGACAAAAACATACGGAACTGGCACAACATAAAAAAGAGGTAATGATCTGATAAAATATCTATCTTTTTGGAATCGATTTCCCTTGCTCCAGGGATGCGGCTATGAATTGGCACCCATTACAACTAAATTTCTTCCACTATGAGAGAGAAATTTATAACATCCCAAGAAGAATTAGCTGAGTACTGGTTTGCCTATCTTGATATATATATGCTCACTGTTTTTTTTCAGGAAATGATATAGGTGGCAGCTCAAGCATGCATTTTATATCCATTTAAGCAAAAAAGTCGGTCAGGACTTGAATTAACGGGTGCATAACAATATGCAAGCTCCAATCATATTTGATTATGGGCAATAAGGAAAGCCAACAAGAGCAATTCACTAAAACACAAAGCCAATGGCCTGCGACTTAGAAAAACCGAAACTCTGAAGAAATGGATGAAGCAACCCCCACAGACAAGGTAGGTTCTGATATAATATAAGAAAATATCAGTTGAATGACAAAATGAAAATAAATGCAAAGCTCAAGTCTGATTTTCAGGTTGACAGTCAGCCAAGAACGGCAAAAGTATAAAATTGGGTACAGCTGCTACAAATATAAGTGGCCGGGGATAGAGGAAACAGATCTTAGTTGATGGAGATGAACCCCCAATCTATTCGTTCCTTGCATTTATTGCGTATGGAAATCTACCCTACTATTTGTTGACATTTAAATCTAGTAGAATTCTGCTCTATTTCATCACATGCAATGGACGTGTGGCCTAATTTAGGACTTACAAGACTCAAAGGTTTGTTTAAAATAGATGCTTGTGACTTACCTCCAAAGTATCCTTTGGTTCCTTTGTCTTCGCATCAATAAGCTCAATTGTTACTGGTTTTCCATCCTTTGCTGGAGTGATCTGTTACAAGCATTTTTCATACATATATCCAACACTGAACATGTTTCTTGTCATATTGGTATGCAAGCTAAAAGAACCAAACATGAGACATAAAGTACCTTGCTTGCATATACACCGGTATGATAATCTATTTTTCGAGGATTTATAAGAACCCGCTGAGCCAATTTCCCAATCTCAGGATCAAATCCAGGCATGAGCTGATCTAAAGCTTCGACAAATGTAACCTGCTCAATTATCCTTTAGTCAGCTTAATGACGTAGGTATACTCCATTCGTAAACAAACACAAGTGAACAGATATATGTTTCAAATCATACTAGGCAAGCAAAAGAGGCAGTTAGGCCCATGAAAGAATGGGTGATCTAAGAGGGGAACATCTTGTTGCAAGAGAGAAATTGGAACCAACTGGGAAACCTCGTATCATGGAAAATTATGTTTCAGTAGCAACTCTTTCCATAGTTTTTATGTTTCTTTCAAAACAGGAAAGCCTTCCCACCAAAAACTGCTCCCTCTTACCATAAGCTTTTCAAACTCTATTTTCTTCTTGAAAAATCAAATTAACTTGACATGAAGGATTCTAAAAATGATGACTTGTGCCCACCTCACTTCCAAGTGCTGTATACACATCGCTGAATTCAAGACCAATGTAACCACTTCCTACAATAGCAATCCACTCAGGAACAAATTCCAATTTGAGTGCGTGATCACTAGTTATCACAGTTTTACCTGCAGGAAACTTCTCAGTAGTATCCCCCATGAACACCAGGAAACAACATATTTTCTCAAGGCAATATGGCAAAGAGGCATTGAAGGTTCTCAGCCAAATCATGGAAAAAAAAACTGAAAGGAAAAAAAGGTTCTGGGAAGCAGAATTAAATAAAAAAATCGTGCATGTTTGCTTCTTTATATGAAATGAAAATTTTGTTTGATATAATATAAAAAATCTAATTGCTTCTCCCTTCTTTGCACTATCAAATATTTTGTGACCCTAAATGTCCCTCTACAATGAAGCTAGCCATAGGAACTAAAAAGTGCAAGGCTGATCATTGAGGCCTTAAAAAGTTCATACAATGAATGATTGGCCATTCCATCTATGCATTTAGGAAGTAGGCAATGCAATGTTTCAAAATGATACCAATTGCTTGGATGCTTTTGAAAGTCTAGAGATGACTTGCAGGAAAAATTATTTCGAGGTTTGTCTTCTGTCATCATGAATTTATCAGATCAGTGCCTTGCAGCTAATAATGGGCAGAACGCCCATTTAGCCAGATGGGGTCCCAACTACAACTATCACATGCACTGTAAGCTTATGATTAGTGCTCTGATGGCCAGGTATGGTTTAACTGTATTGAAACTGATCCCTGTGAATCTGAATGTTCCATTATATTCTTTTTCTTTGATTTACACAGAGCTCGAAAAAGAAACAAAAAAATGCTAGCAGCAGCCACTGTTTGCAATACCAAAGTCACTGCATGAATATCTCCAAGCAAAAGTTAAGCAGATCCTAAACAATATCATTTTGTAGAGAAAGTAATGCTGGTATTGCCCCAGACATATAGCATCTTTAAAGTTGTCTCATAACATCTACTCAACTACCCAGACGTAGCAGCCAGTTGATTTGTTAAACCAGGTTATCCTATCAACAGGTGCATTCAAACACCCATATCAACAAACATTTTTTAACATTTTTTGAAAAGATTATATTTTAATTTACAGAGCATGACAGAGATAGTGGGCACGAAGAAGTCGAAGCAAGTGTTACATATAAGTAATTTCAGTGGAATTTCCCCATTTTGCAGTCGTTCATATGATGTCCAATCGAAAATTAGCTTGATTTTATTGAAATTAATTCAGTGCATTGATAAACACCTTTATTTGATCTTGACAAATTCAGTGCATTCTGACAATTTATCTTATCGAAAAGGGTGCATTCAAAACAGCCATACGAAATGGTTTTAGAAATCGTGAATTTACCCTATCGAAAATGGTTTTAGAAATCATGAATTTCAACCAACAGAGAGCATGAGGAATTGAAAGCATGCAACATCTCAATTGTATCATAAAAATTTCTCCAACTACAAATAATTTTGGATCCTGTTATGTATAGTCTTAACCAATTTAGCTGGCATTTCAGAATGGCTAACCAGCTCAATTAGAAGTAGATGCATGAAGAACAAGCACTTACCATCAACTTCAATTCCATTGGGGACAGAGGGTACAGAACCAGTAGCAATGATTATGTCTTTTGTTGTTATTATATTGTCACTGCCATATTTCACCTTTTGTGGGCCCTGAATACACACATAAAGCATATACGTTTAGTTTACAAATCATCATTTTCGGTGTCACGTTATATGTAATTCAAACAATAACACAAAATTGGTTTGCGATAATACCCTCAAATTTATTGAACACCGAAATTCATTTTGCTGGTATCATAATTCATGCATCATTAAAACAACTTACCAAAATCATTCCAGTTCCAGTCAATATATCAACACCAATAGCTTTTAATGAATTGGTCAAGTTAATTCGAATTTTGGAGGCAAGATTATTTGCATGATCAGCAACTCCCTGTCTGTCATACCCAGCAGCTGCGACCTGTCACAAGAGTACGTGTTGTACAAGGGCAATGTTCATGCACAATTGGAATACAATCAAAATGAGTCCAACAAAAAAACATTACGGGCATAATGTTCAAGGAGGTAGTTTTGCATAAGCTAACAGAATACATCATGCACTGTTTTGACAAATAATCTGTTCCAGTCTCAACAATGTAAAATTGAGCACAAATACATAATAAGACTATTTCTTCCAGGCTAAAATATATATGAATGACATCCACAATAGAAATTCTTTAAATAGTTGTGGAAAAGACCATTCTTGCAAAGAGGGAACAGATTAAAAACTGTAAGTTTCAGGAGTTGAAGATCCATCTGTAAGGATGCATCCGCAGATTCTTGAGAAAGCTAGAAGGTGATTAAATATCTATCCACAATCCACATATAAAGTAGTTTATTATCCCAAAAAGATTATCCCCAAGGAGAATAACATTGCACTATCATCTTCTCTATGAGAGAGAAGAGTCTCATAAAACGCCCATGTCTGGATTGAAATGCAAGCATGAACTTTCTTGAAAGGGTTGGGATCATCCATCAGGAAGGGAGTACTAAATAAGAATGAAGCATGGAAAATTAGAAAAAAAGATGACCAAAGAACTGAAATTCTACCTTTGTTGAAATGCAATTTCTACAAAAAAAATATATGGAGCCCCTCATTTATTCACTGGTCTGTAAGATCAACGATTTGTAAGATTTAGAAGTTCTTCTTGGAGAGAAGCGTAATGTATTTAACCAATGATCAAAATTTTGTTTTGCTATATTGTTTCAGTCACCTATCAACTTGTTTCGATCTAAAATACTCAGCTCATGAGCTTGGTCTTACTTCAATGTAGATAAATGAAAGAAGACTTCCATCTCCAAGTTTCACTTAGACGTAGCTCCCTTCTTTTTGGATAGGAAACAAAAACATTTCGACGCGTTTCAGAAACGTTTTGACCCATTTCGGAAACATAATGAAAAAAATAAAATAAAAATTTTAAGAATCATTTTTTCAATGTATTGATCGAAATATACAAAAATATTTTAAAATAATTTAAAACATTTTGAAATAATTGTGCAAATGCATTGAAATATTACAAAATATTTCAAAATATTATGGAACATATCGAAATATTAGGATTTCGATTCCATTACTGATTCATTTCAGTTGTCCCCTTGAAAACAATAATGTTTCGGACGTAGATCGTTTCAAAACGAAATTTTGATTATTGGATTTAACATTTTATTTTTATAGGACAGAAAACGCATGTGCAATAGGTTTCAACTTTTATTTAGTATCTTAATTGCTATTACTTCAAGATAATCTGTCAATTGACTCTATGAATTCACCTTTTTGTGTATAGAAGTTGATAGGTAGTTCATATCATCTATTAATCTCTAATGACTATGGAATAGTTGAAAGTGAAAGATAATTTAATAATTTTTCTATTTTTAATTCATGCCACTTTGTGCTCACAATATGCAATTGTGCACTCTGAATATCGTACCGATCATAAACTTGAAATGCATTGAAGGTTCATAAATTAATTCTTCGGTTGAAATGATAATTCCCAATCCCACAGAAAACATAGGTCAATTATAAAGTATACCATTACTGCTTTGAAAGTCAGCATCAGCTTCCGTGGATGCAAGAATAAGAAATACCTGTAATCCAAAAGCCTTCATGTGGTGTTCGTTCTGAAGCTCCCGCATTCGACCACTCACAGCAAGAAGGGCTTTGGAAGGAACACAACCTCTATTTACACATGTTCCCCCAATCACATCCCCCTCAATGATAGCAGTTTTTAAACCCTGCAGGGGTTATTAGCAATGATCATATTCCAAAAACTGCATCTTAGACAACATATATAAAAAGCAACAAGAAGACCAGTATCCATGCTGCCCATTTGAAGGTACCAAGCACTCGACCTACTTTTCCTGAAGGAAGGATGTCATTCCTAATTCAGATTTTTTTTTTTTTTTTGCATTTTTAATATCCATGGAACTCAATACAACTACATTCTGTGCAATCAAAATTATAACTTGTTTGATCTAAACTATAATTAAAATTGTACCTGGCAGCTTGTGATAGGAAATCCAAGAAACTAAAATCAAAATTGGGACACATAATGATTTAATTCAATGAGTCAGTTTGGATTCAGTCTTGGTACTTTAAAGTTTAGCACATGAAGCACACAATTAACATTTATTTATGGATGATCAAAGAACACAGTGCCAACGACCAAGAAATAAAATAGAATAACAGACAGCCAAATATTGCGTCCAATCAAGCCAGTGAGCTACAGAATGAATTGATACTAATATCATAATTCTTAAAGTTTGCCTGTTACTAGAAAAAATCAATAAAATCTAAGCGATCACCAATGTAAGAACATTGAAACCATTTCCAACTTGGAAAAAAAAAATCAGGCTCCAGGTTGATCAACTGATCCAGCATAGGACACAAAGCCTCATTTTCAGTGCATTTACTACTTACCCAGTTCAATTAGTCACACAGCATTTACACGAAGTATCTATTTGAATGTTTTCAACCAAATTAACAACAAATTCAATTGACTCCACTAAACATATGATCAGAGCTCACGATAAACAAATTAGTAACTTCGGACTAGGAGAAAATGACGAAAAAAAATTAGCACGAAGAGATTTCACGTTACCTTCTCAACAGCATGAAGAGCAGCGCCGTGGCCCCCAACACCGGCTCCAATGATGACAAGATCATAATCAAAGCCCTTCGATGGAGTCCCGTTTCCCGACAACGACGCTGATACATTTTTCACGTGCTGTCGTTTCGAGGATACAAGAAATGCGGTCGAATTCGATGTACTCGAGGATTTGAACCCTAACACCTCTCTTCTAAGACCACAAAACCGCAATGCGCGCGGCGTGGGTGAATTGTTGGTAGAGAAGAGGTCGACTTTGGTGCTATTAGACCTGGTGATCGTAGAAGGAGAAGATAGAGAGAGAGACATTGAAGATTGCATTTTTGAGAGAGAGAGAGAGAGAGCAGGATTTTACTGAAAATGAGGGAGAGTAATGGAGTGGGGAAGATAAAGAGGTTTGAGGACTACGAAAGCTTTGAGAGGTCCGTTGGAGGTGGCGGAGTTAACGAAGTGAGTTTGGTGTTTGTGATGTCGTTTGGATCGGCCAACAACCATTACAACCACTTTGCTGTATTGGTTCTCTCTTCACTAACATGGTTTAAAGTTCTCAGCCGAAGCTCCCCTTCAATTTCCAAATAATTGATACGTACTCTTCAAAACCTCAGAATATATGCACCAAAAAATAAAACTTTTGAATAATAAATCATCTGTCTAAATATATGAATTCTATTTACCTATGAAATAGGATAAAATTTGTTAAGGTGAATAAATTCTCATCATTAGAGAGAATTGAAAATTTTTCAATTATTAGTATAAGGGTATTGTAAGAGGCAAAAAATTGAGAATACCTCCCTCTAGAATTGAGAAATTGATATGTTTTTTAACTTGATCTCTCAGTCTTTCTCTTCCTACAAAATGAACAAACTGTCAAAGATCGAAGTGCTTCGATCGAAAGCACTCCGATACTTAAGTCAATAAAGATAATGAAACGAATAGAAGAAGACCAAGAAAGTTCAGCGTACCTTTTCACCTTTGATTCTTCTGGTTTTTATAGATGGTCATCCCCTTAGGATTTCCGTTATTTTTGACTCAAGGTGGCACACCTTCCTTCAATTTCGTAATTCAGTTTGAGAAGTTGCTGACATTTCTCCAATATTTCCTCTTGATATATCCAATTTTTCTGATTCATTTATCTGATTGCCTAAGTTATAGGCGGATCTTTATCTTTCTATCTATCATTTGAAATAGTTCGGACATATCGGATGCCGAGAACACTCGATTTTGCCAAACGGATTAAGAGACTTGGTTTGACACAAACCAATCTCTTCAATTACCTTGCCGAACACTTTAACGGACTCGACTTGGTACAAGCTGAGCTTTTTCCTTAGCTGAATTAGGTTGATGAGCTGGGTTATAAAAGAGAACCGAACTCTTTCTTTCTTTGCCGAGCCTATCGATCAGCACGACTCGGTTTCTAAGGCTGCGTGAATGATTCCTCCTTCACGTGATTTATCTTGTCAATCTCACGTGAGTTTCATTTAATGTCATTACATATGTAATGATGAGGGCTAACCCTTTCATTTGCCCCCAGAAAAACGTCTAACAGATGTTTTTTGTCTGTTAGCCATTTTCTTATCTTTTCATCATCATTAACTTGTACTTTGTGAAAATGCCCTTTCATTTTGGCGGCACATTCAGGGTATTTAAATATTACCCTTTAAAATTCCTCCTTTATAAACTGATTTTCTTCATATTTCATTCACTTCGCCTTATTGTTTTTAGACATACCCTTTTTTTTCCGTGTTTTCTTCCTTTGAACTTTGTTTTCTTCAATGGCCTCTCTTACTCCCTCAGAAGTTTGTGCCTTCAAAATCAAGTATAACATCTCAGACGATGTTGAGGTTAGGGTTGCTGTGAAGGATGAACCCCTAATTGGCACAAGAGAGAGAATCCCCATCCCTACTTGAGCCATCACCGAGGGTGGGATTCATTTTTCTCTTGATCCTCTTCTTCCCTGGGTTCTCTTTGTTGCAAAACTTTGTCATCTCCAATGCTGCCTTAACTTTTTTCGGATCGTCATGGGAGTGTCTTCCTTGAACAAGATTTTGGGTTTGAGTTTTGGGTTATGGGAGATTTTGTACTGCTACATTATCAAGGCCACCAGAGATAGCTACTATCTATCGGTGAGGAAGAAGGAGAGGTATTTGGTAACCCATCTTCCAGATTCAAATAAGGGCCATGAGAATGACGTGGTGTTTGTCTCTGGCAACTGGGAATACGCTCCTAGTGTCACTCCATCCTATCGCTGCCCCTACGAAGAAGGCATGTCAGGTATTTGATATCCTTTGCCTCCTGTTTTAACTTTGGTTCTCCATTTTCTTAACTTTGGGTTTTCTTCTGCATAAATGAAACTATGAAGGGAATGATTGTTAAGTCCTCAATAAAGATGGGCTAACTTCAGAAAATTTGGGATTTCAACGAGACGTTGTTCTGCTGAGCCGCCCACACGTTGCTCGGGTACATTCCTACTTACACTTCCTTCATTGTCGTGCCGAACCGACCCAACGCCACTTTGGCCATAGCTCGGGAGGCGATCCAAACTGCTCGGGCTTAGACTCCTCGAGCCAAGAAGAAGTCTTCTCTTATAGCTTCTGGGCGCTGGACGGTAAAGAACTTTCTTGATTTTCTATCAACCGTTGAACCGACTCCTTCCATCGAGCCGACTCCAACTACTTCACCGATTCTGATTTTTGTTCATGACGAGCCAACTGTCAAAGTCCTTCCCGAAGTGATTCTTTCTGAAGCCAATGATACAGGTTTGCCTTTGGATGACCAAGCCGATTTGGCTCCAGCTGTTGAAACTTCTATTCATGTTGAGATAGATTCTCCAGAACCTGTTCACTCCCCTTTTCAAGAAGATGACTCAATCTTTGAGCTCGTCGAAGACCCTGTCCCTAAAAGATGGAGGACATCCAAGCCCGAATTGAGCCTCCCACCCGAGTCTTCCAACCCTCCTTTTAGACTAATTATTAGGGCCAAAAAGAGAAAAATTACTACCAAGGACTCTACAATAGAAGATTTTAATGTTGCAGTGGGGATTACCCGATGAGTGATTTTGCCTCGGGATCTGACAATGAATGAGGCTCTTACTGAAGATGAAGTGTCTCATCAAGCAATTCAACATATGGTCTTGATAAGTCTTGATTTTGACTTCCTTTAAGATTTTTACTCTTTCTTCAAATATTTCTAAGTCTTTTCCTCCTTCATAACTTTTAAGGGTCTGTAAAAAGTCCATGAGGTCGGAGCTCAGATAGCTCGAAAAGATAAGGCAATGAAAGATGTCATCCATGCCCGAGCTTCAGCTCTGGCCAAGAAGGAGAGTGTGGACGAAGAGTATACAAAACTCTACGAAGAAGTGAAGGTTCTGTAGGCTCAAAACCAAAGCCTGACAGAGGAGAACCAGAAGTTTTCTTTAGAGGTTGAGAAGCTAAAGGAGTCCGAGCACGAAGTCAGCATAGAACTTTCTCAATCCCAACTTGACTATTTCACCCTCCTTGAAGAATTTGATTAGTAAAAAGAGAAAGAAGATGCAACTTATGATGAAGGAGTTGAGAAAGCGAAAAATGACCTTGCCTTGCAAATCCCTTAACTTCAAGATGCTTTCTTCAGCAAGGGATGACGTGTTGCGCTAGTTGTTGTAGGGTCCCTTCTACATTCGAACTCTTTTCAAGATATTCAGCTCCGAGTTCCTCTCATCCTCCTGCTCCTTAAGACACTTAGAAAAAATTTTGAATTTTTTGAAATTTCTAATGTACCTGCAATTTCTGATGTACCTGTTATAAGATCTTGTACTTTCTGAAGTTTAAATGAGAATGAGAATCGACTGTTATCATCTCTCTTTTTCATTTCTTAGAACGTCTGAGCAAAAAACTGATTTTTATACTTAGAAGAATTTTAGTCACACTTAAAGTTATGGCCCTGGTTAGCCCTTCTTCAAAGAGCTCAGTTCCTCAACAAGAACCTTTTTATACTTTAGAAAATATTTTAAGTCTCTTGAAGTTATGGCTCTGGTCGGCCCTTCTTCGAAGAGCTCGATCTCTTAGTGGGGATCTTTTTGTACTTAGAAAAGTCTCAAGTCTCTTGGAGTTATGGCCCTTTCTCGGCCTTTCTTCACAGAGCTCGGTTTCTCAGTAGAGTTACTCAAAGTCCCCTTGAGAACTAAGAGTGTTTCTACTCCGCACCGACCCGCCAATCTAATTGGACTCAAATCCATCCCCAATCAGCTTACATCATCATGCCTAGCTAAGGGCCTGGATTTGATCGGGTGGCTACGCATGATTTAAGCTTTTGACTTCTATCAGGTTTTTTGGCCTCCCTGCCTTAACAGTAGGATGTATATAATGCAAAGCAAGTGTAAAAAAAAGAATCCTCGAATTTTTATTGATAACTTCGATTTCATACATTCGCTGTTAATATATCATCACTTCAGGGGCACCCTTAAATTTTTGAAGACACTTCAAAGTTCTATTANTTTTCTAAGTCTTTTTCTCCTTCATAACTTTTAAGGGTCTGTAAAAAGTCCATGAGGTCGGAGCTCAAATAGCTCGGAAAGATAAGGCAATGAAAGATGCCATCCATGCCCAAGCTTCAGCTCTGGCCAAGAAGGAGAGTGTGGACGAAGAGTATGCAAAACTCTACAAAAAAGTAAAGGTTCTGTAGGCTCAAAACCAAAGCCTGACAGAGGAGAACCAGAAGCTTTCTTTAGAGGTTGAGAAGCTAAAGGAGTCCGAGCACGAAGTCAGCATAGAACTTTCTCAATCCCAAGTTGACTATTTCACCCTCCTTGAAGAATTTGATTAGTGAAAAGAGAAAGAAGATGCAACTTATGATGAAGGAGTTGAGAAAGCGAAAAATGACTTTGCCTTGCAAATCCCTTAACTTCAAGTTGCTTTCTTCAGCAAGGGATGGCGTGTTGTGCTAGTTGTTGTAGGGTCCCTTCTACATTCGAACTCTTTTCAAGATATTCAGCTCCGAGCTCCTCTCATCCTCCTGCTCCTTAAGACACTTAGAAAACTTTTTGAATTTTTTGAAATTTCTGATGTACCTGCAATTTCTGATGTACCTGTTATAAGATCTTGTACTTTTTGAAGTTTAAATGAGAATGAGAATCGACTGTTATCATCTCTCTTTTTCATTTCTTAGAACGTCTGAGCAAAAAACTAATTTTTATACTTAGTAGAATTTTAGTCACACTTAAAGTTATGGCCCTGGTCAGCCCTTCTTCAAAGAGCTCAGTTCCTCAACAAGAACCTTTTTATACTTTAGAAAATATTTTAAGTCTCTTGAAGTTATGACCCTGGTCGGCCCTTCTTCGAAGAGCTCGGTCCCTCAGTGGGGATCTTTTTGTACTTAGAAAATTCTCAAGTCTCTTGGAGTTATGGCCCTTTCTCGGCCTTTCTTCACAGAGCTCGGTTTCTCAGTAGAGTTACTCAAAGTCCCCTTGAAAACTAAGAGTGTTTCTACTCCGCACTGACCCGCCAATCTAATTGGACTCAAATCCATCCCTAATCAGCTTACATCATCATGCCTAGCTGAGGGCTTGGATTTGATCGGGTGGCT